GACATTCATTAATAATTTCAAATAACTCTAACTTATTGAAGTATTTTAAACTTGAAACGGAAATGACTAAAGTTCAATAATCAGCAAATTTCAAATATTTTTATAAAAATTTTTCCTATTTTCAGCAAAAAAATTAACGTAATAGCAGTCTGATACTAATCAATAAAAGTAATAAATACTTATTTCAACTTACTACTAACGCTCCATTACTACTAACTACTTATGGATATAACATAACTGATGACGTCTCATTTTTGTAAATCCTAAAATTATTCACAAAAACTGTACAATTCTTAAATCACAAATTGGGGTTAAGTCAAAATATAATATATGACCGACATAATTACAACTTAGCTAATCGTTGGACTACTATTTGTTAACTTTTAAAATACTCTAATAAAGGATTCGACTCAAATTCTGACAGCCTGTACTGAACACTGAAATGAATAATAAATAGAACTACAAAACTGCACCAAATATGTAAACAGCGATAGCATGCAATAAGAGTAGAAAGAGAGAAGTTAGAGCGAAATAGTTTACAAGAATGCATGCATACAAACGCAACTACTTAAAAGTAAACACACGCTCACGCGCCCTTATCATCTGATACATACTCGCTTCTCACGTACCTCACGTTCAGTAGTTTTGAGGAAAGTAATAATACATGCGCCTTAACCAAGATTACCCCATAATTTATCTACGTAAAACGTAAGCTTCAAGTGCAATGTTGGTGCAATATTTTAATGGTTATATACCAAAGAAAATATTCATATCTTGTATACTTGTAGGCATTAATTTTTATGCAAATTCTAAGGCACATGTAAATCATATCATGTAATAGAATATGCAAATTTACAATACTTCAATAAACATGTGAGGTACATCTAGCAATACAGCACACGGATAGTACGATTCCCTTTTATCTTAACTATTTTGTGATTATTCTTGATCAGTTTGATCTCATTGTAGATTATTTCTACAGTAGTTCTGATACAAATTCAGATTTAAAAGCTAGACTCAATTATTTCCCATCTATACAATATCTTGAATCACTAAAATAAACACATTTTTGGTTATCAGTTATGAGTACAAAGAATATAAATCAGACTCCCAAAATTAGTTTTTGTAATGAATCAGAATATGAAATCATAATTTTAATCAGTTACACAACACCAACTTATATCTCATCATACTTCCGTATGTTCAATTTATCTAGCAATAAAAACATATCTCTTAGTAAGTTACTCTTTAGCTTACGGAGTACATGAAAAATTAATCACTATTATGCGAGCAATTCGAAATTACTGGTACAACGACTCTTACCAAGTATTAGCGATAAGCATACGAAAATATATTATACGATATGTCAAATTCTCACAGCGTGTTAGTTTCCCACGTAAGTCCATATTTATAGACTTCAAAACAAGAATGTGACAACCCGTACTAAACGCAATAACACAACACATCGCTTCAAATCAATGGCAGTGAGCAAATAAGATAGCATGTAAAGCACTGCACTTTTTAGACGTTAAGGTGGAACAATTTTTTTCTGAAATTTGCAAAAAATGACAAAATTAGTAATGAATGTCAGATGTGCAGTTTATTTTTCAGAATGACTGTTCAAATTGATAATATCGATGATGCTCTTGACTTTAGAACATTTTATGATTCCGTGCTGGTTCTCGTTCAACTGTATTCTGCTCACAACGTCAGCAATATCACTACCAGCGTTTGCACGTGATCGCCATAATCGATCAGATCGAGAAACGCGAGCATCTGCTCTCTTAAACAAACTTTTTCATACGGAACAAGTTTAAACAATAACGTGAAGCCAGCAAGCTAGCAATGTTGATATAACACGCTAAGAGAAACAAAAACAAACAATAATGACTTAAATAACTACGTGCTGCTGGTACGAAATGAACGATTTAAAAAGTCTAAAATAATTCAAACTAACAATCAGTGATTCTTGGAATAGTTTTAAGGCTTGATATAAGATTTCAATTATATTTTCCAAGTTTAATTTCGAAGCACAGTAATATTCTTTCAATTGCATTTCGTTCTTACGAATTTTCTTAATCAACCGAGACAACTGTCCACATTTTGCAATAGAATCCTGAAAGTAAAAACCATCGTTTTCGTCAATATTAAATTTCGGAAAAGATTGTCTGGGCTTTCAAAACTTTGTACTGAATACATAGTTATCATACCATGATAATTGGCGAATAATGTGCGTGTAGATCACTATCTCCACAGTCTTGCAAGTTTTTCAATGATATTTCCAGAGAACGACGAAGTGCTGCCTCAGATTTTTCAATATCATCAATTGAATGTTTTCTGAAACAAAGCTTAAAATCACTGCAATTATAAGGTATTGCTCGTATGTACATATCTACAGAATTTAATTTTAATAAGCTAAAAATTTTCATTACTGGTAAGTCTACTCCAGAAACAACAGCTGATAACACTTTACTGTCTAGATCAAAGTTGTAACTTCTAAATCATTTTTCTTTGTTATAAGAAAATTTGATCTATTTGATAAAATGCCAACTTTGCTGGTTCAAGAAATTCTAGCATTTTTACAACATGTCGTAAATTTTCGTCAGCATATTCAGCTAATATATCAACAAGTCGAGTATTCGATGCTGCACCATTTCCTTTCGTATTTAGTGCTGATAGTAATGATGATAAAACAAATCCTGAAGCGCCAGCTGCGAATGTTGACTATAATTTAAACTACTAAAGTATGTATACAATATAGGTAACAGATATAGAACAGTAAAATATAATTATGTGAAAAATTTTTTAAATCATAATTACAGCAAACATACTTGATTCAAAAAATTTCCATACTGCAAACATCGGTGGAAAAAAATGTTTAAAGAAGCATAATTATAAAGCTTGTCGCTTGCTACTAAAAGCATATGAGCAGATTCAAGCTGAAGCATAACCTATAAAATGGATTGAACTATATACTGATTAATAATAAGAATAATTAGCTAAACTTGATAAACTTTACAAAAAGTTTAGGAAAGTGAAAACTCACATCGTTTACAATATTATCCGCGAGAACTTTCAGTTCAACACGCAACTTCAAAAATGGTTTTTGTGCGGCTAAGAAGCAAAATAATTCAGCATCTTTGAGATGACCAGTATTTTCAATTTTTTGAAAATAAATGAGCTGTAAAAACCATTATTTGTTAATGATGATAAATTGACCGTTGATCAGAACTGTAATATTGGATGTAATGCGCCCTTCGACCACCAATTATGTTCAATGAATGCTTCAAATATTTTATTTTAAAGTTTTCAAGGTTATTGTTGCCTACAAAATCAAAATTATTTGCTCATTTCATTCACATTTATAGTTTGTGAAATAGTCCAAGCATGACCAATGAATCAGTACATTTATTAGATACCGCAATAATGAAAGAAATTTCTGAAGTAAAAATACAAAAAACAAATATCCATAAAAGCTATCATACTGAGTTCAGAGTCTCTTTGAGCTTGGATATAATTTTTAGTTTGATACAGAATCCAAAATTTTGAGATATGCAAAAATATTTTAAAATCTGAAGTGAGTCTTGAGGAATTTAATTTGAAGGAAAAAAAGTATAACTAGAAGCAGAACCTCTTCAGACGTTGGAAAGTGTTTTAGAAGAGATGACAAATAATCGACAGAGAGCTCATCAATTTCATGTGATTGTATTTTCTGAATAAGTTGTTCTAGAGTAAGTGGACGGAATCTTAAAACAAAGTATTTAGACGTTAATAAAACGATAATTCCATTTTCATTCCTTATTTACGTCTATATTTTACTGTAATTCCCACTTATAAATATCATAGCTAAAATATTGTTTAATATAAGCTGAAATGATCTTTATGTATAAATCACAGAATTCATCTATGCTGTGGCAATCTAAAAAAATTGAGAATTCATTTACTCATAAAATTATTCATAGACTGAACAAATTCTTCACCTAGCAAGAACAATGCCCAGATTAAGTGCTCGTTTTTCGGTGAGACCTTCAACTGTATCAGTATTATTTTTTATATCACAAGTATTAAGTCGAGATCGTGTACGAGTTGTAAATGCGCGAAAGTCACTTTTCTTCATGCGTTCAAAAACTTTTTCAAGCTCAAAATTTTATTCATTAATGCTTAATATAGAAAATAAAAATACGTTAAAAAATTACAACATATTAAGCTTTTACAGAGTCTAGAAATCAGATTCCTTCATTCCTTTTAGGTACGTTTCTGCAACTCAAAAAATAACACAAACTTTGTTTTCAAAGTCTAGAAAGCTAGGAATATTACGAATTTTCAATATATTACTAATATTATCAAACTTATGAATAATATGAAAATTTTGATAATATGGACAGGATTAGACAGGGTCAATGTTTTTTTCACATTTTTAGAAATAGAATGGAATTTTGGAAAAATTTTGATAAATTAAGGCTAAACTTATTAACTCTTTCACGTTCATGTTCATTGAATTCAACATTTGAACCACTCTGATCGCTCCAAATGGTTGATAGTTTAACAACTGATTCCGGTTTTATTGTTTCCCAAGCAACTGTATTAGTTAGACATCTTTTCCTTTAAATGTTCAAACTTTGAATTTTCAAAAAAAAATAAATGCCACATTTTCCTTCAAATATTTATACATAATTGTTTTGTTTAATAACAAACACAAGCAAACCTACTTATAAACAGATTGAGCTTTGACAACAACCGGTGATCCAATAACTGCTGGCTGTTTTCTCATTAACGGATTTAAAAATTCAGGAGCAGGTGGAGGTAAAGGAGGTGGTGGAGGTATTAAGGATGGGACCAAATCATTTTTTCTGAAATTCGTAATTTAACAGTACTATAAATAAAAATACCACAATCTTTGATTCATAATATTTAAAAAAATATCATCTGATAAATAAACATGATTGATTTAATCCATGTTCATCACCTAATTCTTATAAAGCAAACTTGCGCATACACGAAAACCTTAAGCAAAAAAAATGCAGTAAAAATATATCATTTGAAAATGGGCAATTTTTTATACATCCCAATTCTGTTTAGTTTTTTGCTCACCTTTTTTCGTTAGTAAGTTTTTCCAAATTAGGTAAAGCAGATTGTTTTTTGGGGCTACAACTTTTCTCCGTCTTAGTTACTGTTTGTTCCTCCATAGATATAATGGTAGAGAGATCATCATCTATGAATGGAATGTTTTGTGTGTTCATACGAAAGTGATTCGAACGTTTTATACGTGAGCTTGATCTAGGTCTTTTAAATACCTTAAATACTGCCAAGATTATTTTGAATTATTTTGATTGCCTTATAATTTCTAAAATAATAAATGTTATCTGCAAACAAAATTTTGAATGACAAAATGTGAATCATACCTGTGTCACATGTTTGGAAATTGGATGTTCAGAAACTAAGTCACCAGATGCATTATGAGAATTTTGAAACACAGAAGCAACAGCAACTGAATTCATGTCATCTTCCATGTCTATAATTGTGGTCATTTAAGTTTTGTGCTGTCATTTGGTATTTTTTTTCCCTTAAAAATGAAAAACTTACTCTCAGTTTGAACTCCTTCATTTCGTGAGTTCGTTTGCAAATAATTTATCACACCGCGAAGCTTTTTGCTGCTTGGTTGAATCCTCCCAATAAGCTCCAAAATATCCAACTAAAGAAAAATATTTTAAAAAATTCTTGAAAATCATTATCATAATAACTGAAAATAAGAAACCAAGTCGATATATCGTCTTCCTCAGAAGCTTTACAAAAACGTTACTTGGCAAATGCAATTTTGGCACTAACTATAAACAGAAGCATAAATTCTAGCATTTAAATTAATGTTTGTTTCGCTAAAATTTTAATCTAAAAAAGTGTTTAGTGCACGAAAATAACTTAGGCTATTATACCAATATCTCAGCTGACGGTGTATGTTTCAATTTTAAATATGCTGCTTGAAATGCATCAATCGGCTGACGATTACCACTACCAACCAAATTGTCATTGGATTCACTAGTAAAAAATATTTCCAATTCCGATTCTATTTTTTGATTTCGCGATTCAATCAAGTCAGGAAGTGCATTTAGAAGGCCCAAAGCTTAAACCTTCTTAGTAATAAATACTACATAAAATCAGTAGGCGATCGCTGAATTACATTATTACAAAGGAATCACAACACTAGCATCATCATAATGCAATATACTCTGAGTGATTTAATGTTTTCTTTAAGAATCTTTTGAACACACACTATTAATTACAAATCACTTTAAAATTCATAATATCTTACCGATCAAATCTTGTCGTACTGAATACCGTTGCATGTAATTTTTACACTGAAGTATAATGTGATTCAACGAAGCCAAATTTTTTGCTTTCACTTCGTCACTAATTTTTTTCGACAAAAGTTCACTGATGATTACTTGTACATTGCGACCTTCCTGAAATAATTCACTTCAACTTCATGACGTTTGAAGTCAGAAATCACAGAATTCTTCACTAAAAAGATTCAAACTATTTTCTTGTTTTCTGAAAAGCAGAAAATATTCTAAGATTCACTTACATTTTCATGTAGATTTTTAGTATGAGAGCTTTTGTGCAAATCTTGAGGAACCGAAACTGGTGTCGCCGGTTCTACAATTTCGTTTTTTTAATTTTTTGATATGATTAATATTTGACAGTTATGATAAAGCGGAAACCATACAGCACTGTAATTAAGCTTTTAATTTCTGAGAAAAATTTACATACAAATTTCGAGATACTAATAAAAATGGAATTTATTTAATTTTCTTAGTCTTCAAAAACAATTTCCAGATGACAGGTGAACTTTAATCAATTTGAACTGATGATAATGAACCTTTATTCGATTCTGAAATACCATTCGAGCATCCAGATTGTGATTGATTATGCACATTGAGAATTTTGCATTTCTTGGATTGCTTTTCACATAATATCCTTTCGCTTTCTGCATTGTCCGAAGTGAATACAAAATCCAAGCTTGATCTGTGCAATTTTCCAACACAATTACTATCGTTAAAAGCTGTTTTGTAACTACCAGATGAACTTGCAACTGATGAGTCCAAATTAGTTCTTGTTGTCACGAATGTGTCATCATCATAAAATGATGCTTCATGCGATAAATCTTTATCGCCAATATCCTAAAACTCTGAATGAATCTTCATTTCCCATAATTTCAAATATATAACTCTAAATGAATATTGAATATTGAAAATTTTCATTTAAAGTTATATATTTGAATTTTAAATACAACCTGAAATGTCAAAATCATTTATAATACATATAATGGAGATACTAATTATTCTTATAAATTATAATGGATATACTAATTGTTCTTATAAATTATAATGGATATACTAATTATTCTTATAATTCTTATAATCAACTACTAATAATTCTTATAGATTATATAATTAAAAATTATATTTAAATATGAAAACCATTAAATGACTTTAACTTACCATAGCTAACTAACTATCTTTGTGAATATTTGACACAATATATCGATCAATTATCTATCTTTCGCAAAGAAACAAAGTAAATCGTTCAAAAAAATATTCAGACGATGACAGTTAGTACAGATATTTGGATAGAAACGATAAAATTACTCTGACAAGCGTTGTTGATTCTATAAGCTCGCCTTTTGCTTCTGTTCTCGGCCAATCATTGTGTCCTTTTTTGGCTGTTTTATAATCCAACCCAACCACTAAGCACTTTTTTCTTTCGTTTCTTCAAAAATAACGTATTTAAAAGGCAAATTTTTTGCTTTACTTGACAAATTTTAATTAAGTATAAGCAATTTTTAAGTATAAGTTTATTTTATAGTAATTAATTTTGCAGAGTTAATCTCTATTTAATTCAAGCAATTCCAGTTATTAAGTTCTCAACTTAATTTAAGCAAATTTCAGCAATTCCATTATAGACATTTTATTGTAAAAGAAATAACTATTTAAATAAAATGATATATCAAAGACGTATTATTTCGAAAGAAATCACTATTTAAGTAAAATAATATAATAACTATTTAAATAAAATAATATATTTACGTACCTATTGCTATTTATTTGAATGCTATATTTATATACCTATTATTATTTAATGCCTTTAACTATACCTTGTTTTATAATCCAACCCAGCTATTTAACTATTTAACCATATACCTCTATATATATAAAACAAGGTATAATAAAAGGTGTATGTTAAGTAAATACCTTTTATTATTTAATGCCATTACTACTGCAATAGCATGACAAGGTTCTACGCTTCCTGTTACGAATTTTAAAATGACAAAACTTATCAAACTACCAAAAACCAATCCACAACAAACTGTCTGTAAACCAAAGTGAGCTGACCGCGGTGAATTAAGTAACTGAAAATGAATTACAAATAAAATATACTGACATTAATAAATGATTAAAAAGCCAAAATTGAATATACATATTTGCATATATATATACAAATAATTTTAAATAGTATTATGATTAAAAATATTTGAAAATATTCATCTATCTGATGTATGCTAAGTAAAAACTTATGCAACTAGAAAGCAAAAATTGTGGCGGGAAAAAGCATGAACATAAATAAATGCAAAATTGCAAAAATTTGCATCAAAATTTGCCACTTATAAACTGTAAAAGCAATTATGATATATTTTTGAAAAATAACACGTAAAAAACAGACAATTCATAAATGAGCAGCTTTAATTATATGAAAATAAACCTAAGTTTTAAATCGAAAAAATTAAACAATCACGAAAATTCATTCATATTAATAAAGAAAACACACTGTTTCAATTTATTGGACTATTATTTACAAAACTCATATTATTAATTACTTATTAATTAATTAATTAATTAATTAGTAAGTAAAAGAATGAAAATAAAACTTTATTTAAACAAATTTTTGAAATTGAATGTTGACTTTTTTACAGATTATTAAATTTGTAAGAGCTAAAATAATATTTAAAGTGTTAGTACTAAAAAAGTTTTAGATTTTTTC